TGTTACTTCACAGATGTCTCTTGTTTTCGGAAATTTCATATCCGAACAACAACATGTTTTTTTTAAAAAGCGCAGTGTGGAAACAAATATGCTTACTTTCGTGGAGCACTTATCGCAGGCACTAAACGACAACTTACAGGTGGATGTCGTATACACCGACTTCTCCAAAGCTTTCGATAAGATTAATCACGATTTGCTAATCAGTAAGTTGGCAGGGGTCGGTGTGCATGGCAGCTTGCTAAGATGGATAAAATCTTACATCTCAAACAGAAGCCAAGCAGTCTGTATCAAAGGCTATTGTTCACAATTCCTACCGGTGCCCTCTGGTGCCCCCCAGGGATCACATATCTCCCCATTGCTATTTTCCTTCTATATTAACAACATCGGACAGTGTTTGAAATATAGTAATCATCTCCTTTACGCCGATGATTCTAAATTTTATAAGGTTATTAAGACAAGTGATGACTGCGCTAAATTACAGGAAGATATAATATCCTTGCAAAACTATTGTAAAAGTAATCAACTGTCCCTCAATATTAACAAATGTAACATAATAACTTATACACGTAAAAAAATGACAACTGAGTACGAATATAAACTTGACAATAACACAATTAAAAGAGTAAATACTATTAGGGATTTAGGTATAATAATGGACTCGAAATTGTCTTTCACCCAGCATACAGACCACATTTTAAGTCGTGCATTCCGAAGTCTAGGATTTATTCTCAGAATAAGTAAACCTTTTAAAAAAATTATTACGCTTAGAATTTTATACTCTTCCTTTGTAAGGTCAATTCTGGACTACTGTAGCACTGTTTGGAGTCCATACTATCAGGTTCATATCAATAGAATTGAAAGACTACAAAAAATATTTGTAAAACACCTTAATTATCGCTTTAAACATACAAATGAATCATATGAGGCATTATTGAAAGAATATAAGTTATTATCACTTCATAATAGACGTATAATGTTCGATATGATATTTTTGTATAAAATACTCAACGATCAAATAGATTCTTCTGCGCTTTTAAGTAGGATATCTTTCGTGAACCGTGTGCGTATGCCTATGCGGTCCTCTCGCAAGCGATTACTATTTGTTCCTCCACCGCTCACTAAATTATACACGCGAAATTCCTTTATTTATCGTTCCACCAACAATTATAATAATAACTTCAATAACATTGATATATTTAATATTTCACATAGTAATATAAAGAAATTTCTTAAACTAAAATTAAAAGACAACATCTAAATCAAAATATTTTTGCATGTTTATATGTTTTATCTTCTCATGTATTTTATTTCTTTTTAAGTACAATACTTGTTCTATAATGTTTTTCTGTAACTAATAAGTTAAATTGCTGGCACTGTAGGTCGTCTCTTATAATTTCACTGTAACCACAGAACAATTATATTAAAATGTATGACTGTTTGTAGCCACAAATAAAGAGAAAAAAAAAAAAAAAAAAAAAAATTAAATGCAAATAAAACCAAATGCATTAAATTCACTTTACCTAATGTTAGAAGTGAAACCATTAGAATTAAATTAAAGAATGAAAACCTAGATTTAGTTGAATCAACGATATTCTTAGGTATAACCATAGACTCGAAATTGCAATGGTATCCTCATATTTCTCTGCTAGCTGGTAAACTTAGTTCAGTAGCCTATGCCATACGTAAAATAAGACAACTTACTGATGTAGCTACTGCTAGAACTGTATACTTTAGTTACTTTCATAGTATTGTATCCTATGGTATTTTTCTCTGGGGATCAGCAGCCGATATTGAAACTATATTTATCTTGCAAAAAAGAGCTATAAGGGCTATTTATCAACCTAATTCTAGAACATCTCTTAGAGAAAATTTTAAAGAAATCGGGATTTTGACTGTTGCTTCTCAATTCATTTATAATTGCATACTTTTTGTTCGAAGCAATATTAACTATTATCTAAAACACAGTGACATACATTCTTTTAATACAAGGAATAAAAATAAACTCAAGATACCAAATTACAGGTTACAGAAGGTTCATAAATCATTTATGGGTCAAGGTATACATTTCTATAATAAGATTCCTATTGATATCCTTGATTTGCCTCCTCATAAATTTAAAATACACATTAAGAATTGTTTACTTAAGAAAGGATATTATACTGTCAATCAATATTTGAATGATAAAACGGCCTGGTTGTAATTTTACCTGTAGATAATTTTTCAAAAGTTATATTAAAACTAAGGCTCCCAGCCTTAGAAAGAGTTTTGAAGAGAACCTTGCACTTACTCCCTTTCATATACTTGTTCATTTTGTTTTGAAAATTGTTTCTTGCTATTTTGGGACTTATCTTTGCACTTATTGTTAGTAAATTCGTTGATTGTCTATTGTTACATATTTGAAATTATGTGGTGGAAGCTGACCTCAACACATGTTTGCAAGTTTGATGTCAACTTTCAATTGGACGACACTGTATGAAATAAAACAGGGAGAAGAAAGCAGCCCTTGCTGAGTTTCTTGCCGGTTCTTCTCAGTACAAGGTCACCCGCCGTAGTTTTGCGAACCTATGGCGTAGCTTTTCGACATTCAAAAGTGCTTGTAACAGCCTTGATTGAATAAACGATATTGAATTTTGAATTTTATATTCCTAATTCTGATCTTATCAGTAAGGGCACACGTAACCTCTGGTTCAATCACGACTGTGCTGAAGCTGCTTCGCGTAAGCAAGCGGCATATCGTGCTTGGATCAGAGGCCGCGCTCTCAAGGATCCCGGGGTCGATTCACTCAAAACAGCCTACAATTCTGCTTCCAAGGGCTGCAAGAAGGCTTACATCAGAGCGGATGCCCAGCGTGTTGCACGTGTTGGCCAGGAACTTATAACGCATCCTGCGGGCTCCCGTAGCTACTGGCGTTTGGCCAAGGCCGTGCAAAAAGACTTCTGCCAGCCCTCGCTGCCACCTCTGAGATGCCCAGACGGAACACTAGCTCATAAGCCGCAGGAGAAAGCCGATTTACTGGCAAAACTCTTTGCGGCTAACTCCCGAATCGATGATTGCAATGCACTGCCACCATCATTACCCCACAGTGGCACAACGATGCCTGATATTAAAATCAGGCAGCGTGAGGTTCGTGCCGAATTGCAATCACTCGACGTCCGGAAAGTTAGTGGACCTGATGGCATCCCAGCTGTAGTACTTAAAAAATGTGCAACGGAGTTGTCTCCCGTGCTCACGCGCTTGTACCAATGCTCGTATTCTTTGGGGCGTGTGCCGGAGACTTGGAGAGATGCTAACGTGCAACCGGTGCCCAAAAAAGGGGATCGCTCAGACCCGGCAAACTACCGGTCAATAGCAGTCACCTCAGTTTTATGTAAAGTTCTAGAAAAGGTCCTTAATAACCATCTGACCCTCTACCTAGAGGATCACTCCCTGATTAATGATCGTCAATATAGATTTAGACCGAAACGATCGACGGGTTATCTTCTAGCGTACTTAACTCATATCTGGGGTGAGGCTATCGACAAACGTGGCGAGTCGTTGGCTATCAGCCTTGACATTGCCAAGGCGTTCGACAGGGTCTAGCACAAAAGCCTTCTCTCCAAGCTTCCGGCATACGGTCTGCCAGCCCAGTTCTGTTCTTGGGTAGCTGACTTCCTGCATGAGCGTAGAATTCGTGTCCTTACGGATGGTAGCAGTTCGCGGTTCATGTCAGTGAATGCCGGCGTTCCCCAGGGCTCCGTCCTATCCCGCACTCTCTTTCTGCTGCATATCAATGACTTGATTCCTCTTGGGAATATTCATTGCTATGCAGACGACAGTACAGTGCATGCGGGGTATCTCGGACAAGCAGCGGCTGGGCCAGGCAGTAACCAAGGAGAAACGGGAAAATCTTGTCATTGAACTCGATCAGGCTTTGGACCACATTTCCGAATGGGGTACCAGGAACTTGGTTGAGTTCAATGCCAAGAAAACTCAGGCTTGCGCTTTCACGGCAAAAACATCGCCATTCCTTCCCCTTCCATCTCTTCAGGGCACAACACTACCGCTGCAGAGCAACATTTCCATGCTCGGTATGGAAGTTCGCTCAGACCTGAATCCAAAGGACTACATCAAAACCGTGATCAAAACAGCTTCACGCAAACTCGGAGTCCTGAACAAGGTGCAGCGTTTTTTGAAGCCCGATCAACTGTGCTTGTTGTACAAAACACAAGTGCGGTCCTGCGTGGAATATTGCTCGCACCTCTGGGATGGCTCCGCCAAGTACTTGCTCGATGCTTTGGATAGGTTACAGCGGCGCGCGATCCGCATCATAGGCGATGAGGAGGTGACTAAACACCTTGAGCATCTTCAATTACGCCGTGACATGGCGTCACTAAGCGCGTTCTATCGTTTGTACCACGGCGAGTGTTCTGAGGAGTTATTCTCTCTTATCCCACCTTCCCCTTTCCTTCAGAGGACCACGCGCGCTGGCCTACGTTGTCACCGTCTTACTGTGGCCACAATTCCAACGCGTACAAAGAAATTTGGTGACTCATTTCTTTGTCGCACTATCCGTAAATGGAATGCTCTGCCCGCTCGCGTGTTCCCTCCCTTTTACAACCTGGGATCCATTAAAAGAGGCGTGAAGAAGCAACATGCAGGCCGGCAGGGTGAGGATGGCTGGTGTGGCAGGTAGAACTGCTGTATCAGCTATCTTCGCGTCTGGACTTCACCTTCACTTAACATCAGGTGGGGTGGAGTCATTTGTCGGACCTATCTATAAAAAAAAAAAGAATACATAAACTGTATATATATAAGTATATTTATATAGAAATACATATAAATCATCCATAACTGGAGTAAAAATGCTAGTATTCATCACACAAACATCTGCCGCCACAGGGATTAGATTAGGCGACACCTTGAAACCCGGCGTACAAACCACTCGGCCACGGAGGTCGTCATGTATTATGCTCCATTATATTTCAACTTAATTAATTTTATTAAACGATCTTTATTTCAGTATCTCGGTTTCTGCGCTCTTTGCTTGAGCGTGGGAGCTCTCGTACCCGGCAACATGAAGGTGGGATATATGAAGCACCGAGCGCGCCGCTACGCCTTCTGTAGCGTACAGATGGCACTGCGGTTCACCGCAGACCCGGACAGGTCAGATCTCAAATTTAAAGCTAAAGAAAAGTTTACTAGAAAAAAATTCACGCGGACCAGGCAGCAGACGGGACTCAAACACGCACCCTTTGCTATCCAGGCCTAACCCACAATTGTGGGTTACCTACAATACGAAGAGATAGCGCTGCCTTGCAGCCTAAGGCTAGGAAAAATACGACACGGCCTTTAGGGCGGCGGCAGCATAATGGTCAGTGCATTCGCCCGAATAGCGAAGGGCGCGGGTTCGAGTCCCGTCTGCTGCCTGGTCCGCGTGGATTTTTTTCTAGTGATCTTTTCTTTAGACTTAAACATCTAGCAGTTAATTGCTTAAAAAATAAAAACATAACAGATCTCAGATTGTTTAGGTCACAGTGTAACTAACCCCATTGATTACTATGTAGCAAAATTACTACTTTAATCATTTGGTCTATTTCTTTAATTGACTACATAGCAAAATGTCAAGGTGTTTATTTGCCCATATCGCATAATGACTATAGCACAAATGACTAGATAAATAAACAAATAATAAATAAATAAATATTTCCAACATTCACACTAGTGATGTAACGATTATCCACATCCGCATTCGTATTCGCGAATATTCGCATATTTTTGAATATTCGCATTCACATTCGCATTCGCAAAATCTCTGCGAATGTTTTGCGAATATGTATATAAAAAAAACAATTTGAAGAAATTGTAGTTCTTCCTTTCCTTGAATATTCATTGTTACACAGCTGGCATTTAGCTCGTTCAGCATCGCAAAGTGTGAAATAAGTCCATATTTCACTAGAATTTGATTTACTGATGTTAATTAATCATTATTCAAACTCTTACCTCAAAATTCACTTGTTTTGTTTACGAAAAGACTGGCGCGAGCGGAATGACACTTCAGTCGGATGAGTTCATATCAACTCGGCAATTCGAACGAGACTGCCACGATGCCATAGACAATTGGCGCCAATAATGAACAAAAACATATATATTTGCAATCGCATTCGCGAATGTCGGTATCAGATATTCGCATCCGCATTCGCGAATGCAAAAAAAAATACATTCGTTACATCATTAATTCACACCAATTAGCCTAGCCCCAAAGTAATCACTGTAAGGCTTGTGTTATGGGATACTAGGGTAACGGATAGAATACATATACTGTACATATATAAGTATATTTATATAGAAATACATATTAAACATCCATGACAGGAGTACAAATGCTCGTATTCATCACACAAACATCTGCCCCCACCAGGATTCGAACCCGGGACCTCTCGGCCAAGGAGGTCGTCAATATCTTTATTAGATAGAGGAGATCTTTATTAGATAGAACATCAAATAAAAGTAGGTCGCAAAATTCATATTGAGTCACGGTTGGCAACAAGCAAGTGATTGTATTGCAAGCGTCTATAGGCTACTAGGTTAATTAGTCGCTTACCATCAGGCAGCCATACGATTACCATCACCCTCATTAACAAAAATAAATGTCTGGTCCAGATACGTGAATGAAGTTCTGCACTACGCTCGCAACAACCCTCACGTGATCAACCTCTTGGACATTCTAGAAGACGTGTATATGGTGAAGGACGTTGATATACTTATCACGGAGCATGTGCCAAAGAGTAAGTAATTATTAAAAAAAACGAGTGTGCTTATGACCACCCGACTGACTTACATATACATATTTCATTTACTAGCGAAAGAGAAAGAAAATGTGCGCGCGCACTGTTTTCTCTTGCTTATATCCCCCACTCAACAACCGTTCGCCTCGCCTGAACACACTTCGTAACGCATTCGCCAGCTTCTTGGCTTCTTCAGACTTGGAGGCCTTACAGAAGCATCACCCTTTTTCAGATAAGACTGAAATGGTATCAGCAGGGTCGGATTTAAAGTAGGGCAGCCAGGGCTGTGGCCCAGGGGCCCCCGCAGAAGAGATAAAACGTTACTAAATTTCTACGGGTTACCAACCAGGAGATGGAGTGGGGGGGGGCGGACTTTACAAATCGTAAGTGGCCCGAGGGACCAACTTTTAAAATAGGGGCCCCCACACCTTAAGTCTGGTCCTGGGTCACAGTATCCAAAGAGCAAGTAGACTTTCGTTATAGATATTTTAATCGTCATCGTCGTTTATCCTATTCTCACTTACATTTAATGCTGTGTTTACCATACAACAGATTAGGATATTACTTTGAAAAGCAGAGAAGTACTTTCAGAACTCCATCTCCTGAGGGGTTAAAACATTTAAATATGAAAGTAGTACACGCGATACAAACCACAGGTGGCAGTATTTATAGCTGTAGTTGCAATGATATATCGTCGGGTAGTTGATATAAAATGGCTGGAAATTTTCTGACGAATTTAGAACCATCGCCGTTTTTGGAAATCGGTTAAATAGATCTTACAACCTGGGATCCTTTAAAAGAGGCGTGAAGAAGCAACATGCAGGCCGTCAAGGTGAGGATGGCTGGTGTGGCAGGTAGAACTGCTGTGCCAGCTATCTTCACGTCTGGACATCACTGTCACTTAACATCAGTTAGGCTGGAGTCATTTGGTAGACCTATATATAAAATATAAACTCATACTCCTATGTTGTTAAATGTATGATTTACTAACCAGTACAATAATTGACAGTCAAGGTGATGGACAAGGACATACAGACGGAAGTGCACCCAGTGGAGAGCTACATTGAGAAGAACTACTCCTGGGACATGTGGAAGTGGAAGCGAAGGGCTTGCCAATGGGTAGATTGGTTGACTTTTATCTTCACCGGATTTCTAATGGCAATAGTCTTGTGTCTCAACAAGAAAAATAAAGAATGATATAGGTGAATAATGTGATTTGGTAGCAACGGCTTTAAGTCGTTTCTCAATCACCAAAAGATTTGTTTAGGTAGTGCATTTGGCATCGCTGGCCGCCCATTACTAAAGTCGCTTAACTTTCACAATCGCAGTAAACTTCAAAGGAAAGGCTATAACAATATTTCATAAAGCTTTTGAACTTTTTGTCCCCCTCTACGATACGGCACTGTTGACTTAGGCATAAATGCTCGTATTCATCATACAAACACTTTTATCCCACCGGTATTCGAAACAATGACCTCGGAGTAGACGACACTTGTGTACATACCACTCCATCAAGCATATAATCGACTAGTTTAATTAGAATAATCATGTTAATTTTATCTGGAGGAGCTCGATGGCGTAGATGGTTAGCGTGTTCGGCCTGCGATCGTGAAAGTTAATAACTTTCACATGGGTCAGTCATTGGATGGGTGACCAAAAGTTTAATATCTCGAGCTCCTCCGTGCTTTGGAAGGCACGTAAAACCGTTGGTCCCGGCTGTATTCGCAGTCGTTAGCACCCACCAATCCGCACTGGGCCTGCGTCGTGGAATATGGCCCAATCTCCCTATGCAATCCATAGCGAAGGCTTGTGCCCCAGCAGTAGGGACATTAATAGACTGATGATAATGTTAATTTATCCTCACAGGCCACAATAGTAAACTGCAAAACGCATTCAACACAAACTTTATACAGCCACATGCGTTCGGAGATCCAGTGCCAGACGGTAGAGCCGCGGGACAAGTCTTTACAGACGAAAAAGGAATGTGGCGTCAATACTCCCTCCAGGGAATACTTCCTGTGGGGTTTGAGGGGACAAGTAGGATACGGGCAACATACTCTGGGCTTGACTGACTACGTACACACGAAGAAGAAGAAAAGTAAGTATCTACCTGCTTTTGTGTAGATTTGATTGGATTTCTCTATATCAAGCAACAGTCTCAGAACAAGTGCCTGCAGATGATGCAAGATTGCGGCGTCAATAAACCTCGAGCAACTAGTTCCCACGCGGCCTGAGAGAACAAATGTGAAACGTTCAACAACGGAAAAGAAGAAGGGTCTACTTGGTTTTGTGTAAATTTGATTGGATGAAATTGTTTATATCAAACAACTACACCTAAGTCTGTATGAATATTGAAACTGCGGGAGAATGCCTGTATACTGTCAATGTGTGCGTGACAGAAATTACGCTTTGGTCTGAGCAGACTGCATGAGACGGTTACTTTATGACTAAAGCTTAATAATGTTAGTCTTTGTTTGTATTTTATTCTAAAAAAATAGTTTATACTGACCACTGAGTGTTTTCCATCCAACAAGGACAGATAGTATAATTCGACTTTTTGAATTATACCTAATGGTAAATATATGTATGATAAAAGCCGGAGTTCGGCGACTTACCGCAAACGCTCCTTACACCGCCACGGGTACCGAGGACTAGGCTTTAGAACGGGGCTCGTCAACGCTCTCGGGAAACTATTGCCGGCAATATATCGCACATAGGAGTCCACAGGTCAGAAGGTTCACGATATCTTCCAGAGAAAAATGGTACTCTCACTTGATGTAACGGAAATTCTTTTAGAGCTGTTGATAGCTGCTTACACGTCGGGGAGTCGAAGTGAACTACTCGCTCATTGGTGCTGGCATCGGCCGTAAAGTCGTACCAACACACAAGACACAGTGGTAGGCTCAGAACGAAAATACGGTTTGTCACCTACCCCATACATAAATTAAAAAAAAGGAAAAATAATACAATCTTCCAATATGTGTTGTCTTAATAAAAATCTGTTACGCTACGGAACATGCCGCTCACCTTAAAGGGACGTAAGTGCCTTTAACTTGAATCAATGAATGAAAATAAAAAAAAAATTAGAGAAAATGCAAAAAAAAACTTAAGGACTAAGATTTGATTCGTAACGATTTAAACTAATCAATAGGAAGCGGGCACACCTTAACAACGGGCCGCTTGAAAAGAGTATTACCCCTACGTAGTGTTATGACGCGAGTTATGTTGTCAGATCCGGGATGAAGAGCATGAACACGCGCAATTTTCCATTGCAGAGGCGGGAGATTGTCGTCGCTCACCACTACAACAGTACCCTCACGGATACTTGAACCTCGATCAGAAAACCATTTTTGACTTTGCTGCATTTCGTGTAAATATTCTTTACTCCATTTTTTCCAAAAATGTTGAACAGATTGTTGAACCCAACGCCACCGTGTAAGACGATTAGGATTCTCATCCACCAAGGAAACATCAGGCAAAGAAGTCAAAGGTTCTCCTATCAAAAAGTGTGATGGAGTTAAGGGAAGCGGTTCCGGTGAAGCACTCGTGGCGCAAAGCGGACGCGAATTTAACACGGCCTCTATTTGGCAGAGAAGAGTGTGCATCTCATCATAAGTTTGAGTGCGAGTGCCAACTACACGGTACAAATGATGTTTAAAGCTTTTGACACCCGCCTCAAATAATCCACCGAAATGACTGGCATACGGAGGCTGAAAGTGCCACGTTATGCCTTGTTGGAGTGTAAGCTCGTTTAATTGATTCTGGACAGCGTTATTGCGCAAGAATGCATATAAATCATTTAAATAATTATTGCACCCAATAAAATTCTTTCCGCAATCCGAATAGATGTCGGTACATAAGCCTCGGCGCGAGATAAAACGTCGGAGAGCGGCCAGAAAAGCTTCCGTGGAAAGCTCAGACACAAGTTCCAAATGTATGGCCTTAACGCTCATACAGACAAAAACCGAGACGTAGCACTTAATAACCTTTGCATTACGCACCTTATTTGCACGCACATAAAATGGACCGGCATAATCGACAGCAGTCTTAATGAATGGTCGCGCGGGACGCAAACGAGACACCAGCAGTGGTGCCATGCGCGGCTGGTTACGAGCGGGGCGCGCGCGGAAACAAGTAACGCAGCGATGAATGCGTTGACGCACTATGTCTCGACTAGATAGGATCCAATATCGCTGCAATAACAAGTATTGGACGGTTTGTGGGCCGGCGCGGCGTGCAAATATTTTACATGCGCATCGTCAATAATAAGATTAGTCAAATTATGTTTTTTCGGCAAAATTAACTGATGTTTAGAAACGTACGGTAAAAGAGACTTCTGTTATCTACCACCCACGCGTAATAATTTATTATCATCTAAAAATGGTGTTAAGCGTCGTAATTTATTAGAGGGAAATTTTCCTAGTGCAATGCTTTTAATATCATCACTAAATACACACTGTTGAACTAAATAAATAAGTCTAGACAAAGCAAAATTATACTCTGGCACTGTTACATAGTTCGAATATAATTTTTTGTATTTTTTACATTTAAAATAAAATCTAAATATTAAAGCCGTTACTGGAACGCACTTGCCTAAGCTACTAAATCGAGATATAATATCCACGTCCTGTATAGGAGCTGTTGAAGTTAAATTTGAACTAACCGAAACCTTGATACGCTTTTCCTCCTCTGTAGTGTAATCTACTGTTGACGAGGGCCAGTGAGTTCGATCTTGACGGAGCCAAGATGGACCATGGAACCATAACTCATGTTCCACAAACGCACCAGGCAGCATGCCACGAGATGCAGCATCTGCAGGGTTGTCTGCCGATGGAACATGATGCCAACGTTCAGCAGGAACGCGTGAAAGTATATCGCTAGTGCGATTCGAAACAGAAGTTTTCCATTCGTGTGGTGGTGATCGCAGCCACGCTAACACGATGGCCGCATCGGACCAAGCATAAACCTGATCAATAATAAGGTAATCCGAGAATATAACTAATGTTTGTTGTAAAAGCTTGGACAATAATAGGGCTGCCATCAGCTCGAGGCGTGGGATCGTTGAAAGTATACGAAGTGGAGATACGCGAGTTTTCGCCGTAATAAGTGAAGTGCGAATGTGCCCGTCCTTGCCCGTCAGGCGTACATAGACACAGGCTGCATAAGCCTTCTCCGAAGCGTCAGCAAATCCGTGAATTTGAATTGATTTATGTTCCGGAAATATGTGACGGGGAAATGATACTTTGGAAATAAACGGTAGTTGATTAATAAATGCATTCCATGAATTTACAATGTTTATGGGTGGCGCTTCATCCCAATCTATGTTAGCTATCGTTAGCTAAAGTTGGATCAAATGTTTGGCATACATTGTAACTGGGGATAAAAAACCTAAAGGATCGTATATTTTTGCTATCTCGGAAAGAATAGCTCGCTTCGTACATAAATTGGATGTTGTTGCTTGTACATTGAAGTAAAAAGAATCCGATCCAGGGTTCCACTGGAGACCGAGTACCTTCACCTGCTTATCTTTCTCCATTTCCGCAAAAGCGATTACATCGGACCGCTCACCATGAGATTCTGGCGGTAAAACAGTTGCGAGTAGCGCTGGAGAATTGCTATGCCACTTGCGTAATTCAAAACCAGCCGTCTTATAAATATCAATAAGCTCCTGCTGCAGCGCTAAAGCATTAGGGAATAGGGATCGTAGACGCCCCCGATGTCACGTCGTCAACAAAAACATCGTTTAACAAAACAGGAGATGCAAGTTTGAAACGCTCGGCCTCATCACAAGCCAATTGTTGGACAGTTCTTAAAGCCAGATATGGGGAACAATTTGTGCGAAGACGATAGTCACGAACGGGTTCGTCGGGTGACTGTCGCCATAAAATTCGTTGAAAATCCCTGTCTTCCTCTAGGACCAGGATGTTTCTGAACATTTGTTTAATATCAGCAGTGAATGCTATTGCGTGAACTCGGAATTTTAAAATAACATTACCTATGTCCAAGTGAAGCTTGGGACCAGTCAGTAAAGCGTCATTGAGTGAGTAACCACTAGTAGTCTTACACCCGGCGTCGAAAACTACGCGAGTGCGAGTCGTCTCGCTAGACTCCTTGACTACGCAGTGGTGTGGGATATAATAATGTTTCCCTAAAAGCGCCACGCCCTCAACGGGTTCCATATGATTCATGTCGATGTATTCCTGTAGACACGCGTGATAGTCAGCTTTGAGCTTCGGACTACGTTCGAGTCGATATTCGAGTTTACGAAACCGCGCTAATGCAATTTTTCGAGATTCTCCAAGAGAGGGAGCCTCCGATTTAAAGGGCAAGGCAACCACATATCGCCCAGACGCATACTCGAGAGTATGTGAAAGCTGATTAAATTTGCTACAAGTCTTATTCAGTCAAATTTTTTGATATCTTGTATAGTTTTCGAGATAACCGCTCTTGAAAGTCTGTAATTATGGAAAAAAAAATTGTTCCCATTTTTGCTCTATTTGACCGGATAACTCTTCAGCAATGTACCCAAAAAATAAATGCCGGCCATAGGGTTGTAGAGCATTAAATTATCTTCAATAATAGAAACAATTGCCCTTTTTTTTATTTAAGGACAAAATTGTTAGGGTTGTAGACGTATGGGGGCGGTACGGTGGGCACTAGGCCGCGTACTCAGCCCCCACGCGCGGGCCGTCCTGCGCACGTCTGTGGGGTCCTCGCGATACCCCGGGAGACCCCTGCCGCGGAACCTCGGCAAGGCCGGGAGAATGCTAGGTGCGGAGACGCGGAAGAATCCCTAAACGGGGATTCTGCGGCTTCGCACTAAGCAGCTTAGAGGGTGTTCGCAGGGTATTTTAGCGGATATTATGCCGTAAAGCGCCCGTAAGGGTTACGGGGTCCTCAGTGGGCAGCCACTGCTGGGGCTCGTAAGGCTTGCGGGAGCCAGGTGTGAGGTCCATAAGTAAAAAAGAAAGTAAATTAGTGTCATTGAGAAACTGTAATTATCTAATAATAATATCTGTAATAATGATATCCGCTCTTGAAAATCTGTAATTATGGAAAAAAAAAATTGCTTTACATTTATGCTCTATTTGACCGGAT